CCCTACCTCTGCCCTCCCAGCATATTATAGCACAACTCTTGTTTACATAAATATTCAAGATTTACATTATTACAACTCTGTAAATATTGTATATGTCATTATGCATTATGATTTCATTAGCTTTCTTAAACAATATTTTCCCCTGGAATTAATAATTGTATTTTTAATTGGTTTGAATTCTCTATAGAACAGTGGTTTTCAAACTTTCCTTCTTAGCAGTGGAACTCGTCTTTAAAAACAGAGGTACTAAATATTAAAACAATATTTTTCAAACAAAATTTTATGTGGAACCCTACTACATCATCCAGGAAAATTTGAGCTTCCAGGTTGAAAGCCTTCCCTTCAGGGCTGCCACGGAGAGCCAAGCAGGTTGTGTATTACACAACTCTGGGGTTACCATTCACATAAATAACAGTGTGATTCAGTCATGATAATTATAATTACATACCCCACTGGTGGAATGCAGACATTATGTAAAGAGAGGTCCACCTAGATGTATACATTTCATCAGGAGTCTCTGCTTTAAAAAGACTTATTCCTTTCCCAATGCAAGGTTCTGACCTCTCCTCATTCTGAATAGGTTCCAGTGATTTTGCTTCATCAGTCCCTTCAGTACATCGCCCACAGGCTGCTGGCCAGAGCTGCTGTTAGCTGATGGCCACCTATTGACTGATTCAGTGTCCCTCGGATTTGCCCGGGTTGGGCTGGGCTGGGTGCCAAAAGCTGAATGCAAACAGCTTTGCTCAGGGATCGTTCCAGTGCAGCCACTGGGATCCAATGCAAGGAATGGATCTGCCAGAGAGAGTAAGTGAGCCGTAGAAGCAGACAGTGCAGGACCCGTGTGCCCATGGAAGTCAGAACTGGAAGAGGGAAGCAGGCCAACAATGAGCAGTGGGGTTCAAAAACCTCAGCTTTGAGGATCACCCCCGTGTGGAAATCCTAGTTTCACTTTCAGATGGGTAACCTTGGGCTTGTTGCTTAACCTTTCTGGGCCTTCATTTCTTCACGCCTAATTAACAAGGTTGTCATGAGAGTTCAAGAAGATAATGTGTAACCCTAATAACTCCCAGGGCCACATGTGGCTCAGTATTTGCTCAAAATCTCATTTAAGGAAACATAGTCCAACAGCCTGAAAGTAATTGAAAAAGATGTTGCAATTCAAATTACATCCCTCATGGAATTCAGAGGGGATCCCATTCCTGGCTGATAGCTGCTCCCCAAATCCTTTCCCTCCGTTCTCTAATTTCCCCACGATGTACAGTGTCAGTGAAGTTCTCCTGAGAACAACGTCTGAGGCTTTTTTCCTCTTTCTCTGCCTCATTCCTCACCCTCCATCCCACTGCCATTTTCTCTTAGGTCTGTTTTCCTCTACTAATCCTGCCATTGCTGTGTCACACACACAGACACACACACGCACACACACACACACACACGACCTGGAAATGAGCTGACAGAGATGCAGACAGGAAATGGGTGGGGAGGGGTTCTGGCCGGAGGATATCCTGAAATTAATCTTGCCTCATCACACTGGTGAAGTATAAAGCACAGGTAGCAGAGGCTCAGCAGAAACTGGTTGTCTTCTTCATTTTTCAGTCAAGGAACTTCACGGAGGGTGTGGGATGACCTGCGTAAGGTACCTCTGAACACCTAACCGCTAGTAGCAGATGGGCAGTGACTGGAAAAACCCGCCCTATTTCCTCCAACCCCCTCAAAGTTAGTATTAACCCCCCTATTTCCTCCAAATCCCCCCCAAAACTAATATTAAGATGGGACACAGCTTCTGCCTAAATTTTCCTTTCCTGCCCTGCTACCTTTAAGCGTAAGCATGGACTTACCCTTCCTTACTTCCTACCCCCACAACTCTCGTTCTATCTTTTGTGGACTCTATTCCCTTCATAGGATGTCTTTTGAGTCATATAGTGGGTACCTACTATGTGCCAAGCTTGTTAGGAGCTGGAGATTCAGAGACAAGGAAGACATAGACCCTGTCCTCAGTTGCTCACAAATAAAAAGAGACTGTAATTCTATGTGATAACACTGTAGTGAAGGGAAGCCAGAATGCTGTGAGAGCACGGGGAAGTTCTTAACCCATTGAGAGATCAGGGAAGACTTCTTGGAGGAGGTGTCATCTAACCTGTATGATGAAAATAACTACTCTCATATATTAAGCAGTCTTTATGATGATAATCGCCACGCTAAACACTTTGCTAAGTACATTAGCTCATTTAATGTTTACAGCAGTGTTAAGTGGTAAGTGTTGCTATCCTCGTTTCAGAAATGAGGAAACTAAGGCTCAGAGAAATTCATTGATTTGATTTTCTCACAGCCACATAGCTAAAAGGTGGCAAAGCTGTGATTCAAACACAGGCCTGTGCAACTCCAAAGACTATGCTTTTAACCACAGGGCACTGTGTACAGGTATTTAAGATGCACATTGAACAAGCCTGCCACATCTGGGGGCAGCATTGTTTACGTTGTAGGCAGAGTAACTTATGTGCATGACGGTGTTTAGGTGGACACAGAGACTTGGACCTCTCTGCTGATTCCTTGAGCAGCAGGAAAGAGCCTCTTCCTGATCCGAACTTGGCTGTGGCATGTCTCCTAGGGGACAGTGGGGAATGTGGGCACCGAGGAGAGTGCATACATCCCAATGTCAGGGTGTCTGTGCTGCCAGGGCAGCAGCCTTTGGCCATACAGGTGGATGGTAACATCTTAACTTTAAACATTTTTACTTGAGGAAGAAACACCTTTTCTTAATTTGCACAAAGTTGACAAAGTTGTCACATGGACTACAGTGCCCCACTGCCCCATCACCATTCAGTGTTGGAGAGGATGCAGCTACAGAGCCATCTGGCCCAGCCTGATGCAGGGACCCAAAGACAAATAAGACACTGGTTGGTCCTCCATGACCCACCAGGTTAAAAACAAATGCTGTCCTTTCAGGGCCACCCCAGAGCCATCAAACTAATCCCCTTTTCTCTCTCTTTCTCTCTCTCTTTCTCTCTCTCTCTCTCTCTTTCTCTCTCTCTCCTCGGCAGACGGGAAGGATTGAACCTAACTACCCCAAGGTCTGTGGTCACCAGGGGAATGTCCTGGACATCAAGTGGAACCCCTTCATTGACAACATCATTGCCTCGTGCTCAGAGGACACGTCGGTGAGCAGGAGGGGTGTCCCCAAGGAGGGCGGGCCCGTGGGACTCCTCCTTGCTTCCTCCTTAAACTCCCTTCCCTCTCCCTTCTTTGCCCAAGATGGGGAGTTAGGAAGATGACTGAAGGAGAAAATCTATGGACTGTTTGACAGGTCTTGTGCCTTTCGTGTGATTTCATTTGGAGGTATTGATTTTATAGTTGAGAGTTAGAACAAAAAGATTAAGTATATGATCAGCACTCATCTGCAGTCTCAGGAGGAGAAGGGCAAAAGGAGGAATATGGACAAGGAGGGAGGGAAAGGGAAGAGAATGAATGAGCCATGAAGAAAAGAGCCCCTGTTCCTGCAGGCTGGGCATGGCAAATGCACCATCTGGTTTCGTCCCCTGTGAGCCATGGTTTTAGGGAAGGACACCGGGCTGAGCATTGTCATGACTTGTCCAAAGACCCACAAATATGGCCCAGAATTTGAATTCCATGTGTCCCACCACTTAGTGGGAAGAGAGAAGAAATAGGAGAAGGGAAATGAGGAGGAGGGAGCAGGGAGGAGATAGAGGGAAGAAGAAGAGAGAACAGACGGGGAGATGGAGATGGATGGAAGAAAGCGGGCGGGGGGGAGATAAAGAATCCAGGGAGAGTAAAATTTGAAGCTGCTGTCAGGCCACCCTTTCCCTGAGTTCTGCTGATTTTCACACACAGAGGTAGAGCCTGGTGTTGGCAGTGGCCTTTGTGTTTCTGGAGAGGGGCCCCATGCCTTTCTTCACACTGCCCTTGAATAACATCAGTGCCTCAGCTTGGGATCAACAGGGGATGTCAGAGCTCAGCTGAGCTGTGAGGAAGAGCTGCCTGAGTCCCTGGTGTTCCCAAGTGAAGGAAGATCAGCCTTTTAGTCAGGTCATAAGCATCTACCCAGTACTCACTGGCAAAGCCTTGGTATAAGTCATAGGCTCTCAGGGTATTGGAACTAAAAGGCACTTGCAGCTCAGGTTACTTGGCTTTCCAGACTCAATTGTGAGCTCCTGAGAGCATAGGCCATGGCCTATTTGCTTCTGAATCCCACATATCCAACACAGAGCCTACTACCTAGTAAATGTTTAGTAGGTATTAGATGGGATGGACAGGTGGATGGACAGATGGATGGATGGATAGATGGATGGTTAGAAGAATAGACTGTTGGATAGATGACTACATTGATGGTTAGAGAGATGACTAAATAGATAATGGAAAGATAGATGACAGGAAGGAAGGAAGGAGGGAAGGAAGGAAGGAAAAGGAAGGAAGGAAGGAAGGAAGGAAGGAAGGAAGGAAGGAAGGATGGAATGATGCAAAGGTTACTGGATGAAGGTAAATGGATAGATGGATGGATGGAAAGATAAATACATGAATAAATATAGCCAAACTAATTGATTATTCAAAGAAAGAGAGTCACAGTGAGTAGTCTCTATTGGTCAATAAATTTGGTAGGGGGAAGTCACCTGGCACAGTATCTAGGAAGTGGGAGTAGTGGGGAGGGAGCTAAAAGAATGGAATGGAACTGCCCAGCCCCCGAAGGTCAAAGTCCTAAGTCAACCCAAGAAGATTCCTGAGAGCAGCAGCAGCAAGGGCAAGGCCCATGTGAGCACAGAGATCAAAAATTGGCGGTGACACGAGCCATCAGGTTTGATTACTTTCTTTTTTTCCTTCTTTTTTTTTTAATCGGGCTTTATTGGATTTCTGTTATTTCACATTTAGATCCCCAGATACTTACTTTTTTTTTTTAATTAAGTTTATTGGGGTAACAGTGGTTAATACAATTATATAATTTGCAGATGTACATTATAATTTGGCATCTATATATTCTATTGTGTGATTACCACCCAAAGTCCAGTTTCCTTTAGCTACCTTTTATTTGATCCTCTTTACCCACTTTACTCTCCCCCTGCCCCCTATGATTACTTTCTTTAGCAAAATGGGGAAAGTGACCAGAGGTCAGAGCACAGGCGGGGCAGAGGGTGGGCACAAGGTGATGGAGCCAAGCACTGGTCCAGAAGCCTGAGGAAAACAAGGTCACTGGTTGCTTCCTGGGCTGGGAAGGAGGCAGCTGGAGCTGATGGGGACTGGAGAGGTCAGTGGTCAGTGCAGGTAAGGCCTGGGCTCAGTGGGAGACAGGCAGGTGGAGGTGCTGCCCCTCCTTCTCTGCTGGGTTTAGGGAACCCGAGAAGGAGTGCCAGCAACCACAGCCTGCTCCACCGCTGCCTGCTAAGATATTGAGTGACTGTCGCCAGCCATCAGGGAGCAAACACCCCTGAAACTTGGGGGTGCCTTATACCAAGCTCCTCTACCCAGTCGGGCTGGACACTTAACACACGGTTAACCCTCACAGCCACCCTGTGACCCAGGCACTGCCATCCCCAGATTGAGGGTTGGAGGCAGGTCACACAACTAGGAAGTCGAGAAGGGTTTGTGGTCCCAAGCTCACTCTCTTCCTGCTCTCCTAAGTCTCATCATAAGATGAATTCACAGAGTCCTGTGGGCAGCCTCAGGCCCCTCCTGGTGTCTTGTGCCAGGGGAGCCAGCTGGGAAAGAGAAGGGCAGTGTTCAACTTGCTGTGGAGAGGGACAGGTTAGGCCAGGGCTCTCGGAACCAGTGGCCATCCTGGCTCTACCTCAGGTCGAAACTTCTGCCTGAAACAGAGCGAGGGTGGGAGGGTCACTGGCCCTGATAGCCCTGCTCAGTTGTAGCCCAGCACCTTATCTGATCTAAGAGTCAGGTGCCGCATCTTGTGGGACCTCAGCTAATAAACCAGACATCCGTGCTGTGCAAGGCCCCAGCCCTGGCCACACAAGCCAAGGGCTGCCTTCAGTTTCACATACATCGACTGAAGGACCACAGTGTGCCCACCACTCTCCTGGATGCGGGGCTTCAAAGAGAGTTGGACTATGGAATCTGGTTGACCTGGGATTGAATCTCGGCTTCACCATTTGCTAAGTGACCAAAACTGTGTTACTTACCCTCTCTGAGCCTCAGTTTTGCTCATCTTTTAACAGTAATAATGATGATACATCCTTCTGACAGTTGCCAAGAGAATGAAAGGAGGTCCATGTCTACCACTATGCCTGCTAGTCTCCGCCCTGCCCTGGAAACACTGCCAGTGGCGGGGCAGCATCACACCCCCTCACTGAGATGCAGTGCAGAATGACCTCACTGCAGCCACAGAGGGTCCAACAGGGCTGTGTGCCCAGGGAGGAGAGAGGGATTAATTTCAACCAAGGTTTAGGCAGAGCGGGGGGTGGGGCGGGGGCGGTTAGCGAGAGCTAGACTCTGGAGAAGCGGGACTTTGATGGCAGGGAAAGGGTTTAAGGAGGTCCAGGGAGAAGGCAAAGGCACAGGCCTGGAGGGAGTGTGTCATAGCTCGGGCCACTGTAACAACATACCACAGGCCAGGTGGCTTATAAACAGCAGAAATTTATTGCTCACAGTTCTGGAGGCTGGAAAATCTGAGATCAGGCTACCAGCACGGTCGGGTGTCTCATTGTGTCCTCACACAACAGAAGGGGCTAGGGGTCTCTCTAGAGTCGCGTTCATAAAGGCTCCACCCTCAAGACCTAATCACCTCCCAAAGGCTTCGCCTCCTAGTACCATCACCTTTGGGGGTTAAGATTTCAATATATGAATTTGGGGGCAACATGGACATTCACACTCTAGTAAAGTTCATATGGTATGTATGCCTGGAAGGTGGAGGTATCTGGTATGGCTGGAGCCCTGGAAGGTGGCAGAGGAGAGGAGTGGGCAGGAGAGGGACTGTGAAGGGAGGAAGGGAGCAGAGAGAAGGCTTGAGATGCCAGGGTGAGCAGCTGCACTTTGAAGTGAGGCCTGTGCTTCTCAAGCCATCTGAGCATAAGCTGGGACACCAGGCATACAGCGTGTGGGAGATGCCACATGCTCTGGGGGGGTTAAGGGAGGGGAATTAGTGGGGCTGAAGGGTCAGGGCCAGCTTTGTGGCAGAGGTGGGGCCCAAGCCAGCTGGACAAGTGCTGGAATGGGGCTCCACAGAGAAGGGGAGCACCCAGGGAAGGGATGTGAAGAGAAAGGACATGGGGCTTGGAGACACAGAGACAAGGTGGGGTGGGGGTGGCCCAGGCTGCTGATCCACAGAGAAGGAGATTAAGTTTCCAGAGCAGAGAGGAACTAAGCTCTTGCTCTGGTTGCTAGTCCAGCTGCCTCAGAAGCAGCGGCTCAGAGCCCCGCTGGTCTCCACCCCTCCCCAGCCTCAGGGCCGAGGGTTGTGCTGTGGAGCCAACAAGCCCTTGAGGCTGGGGCCCAGTCCCTCCTGGAGAAGGGCACACTGAGGCCCAGGGGCAGCGCCTTGCCCCAGGTCACACGGAGTCCGAGTCTCAGGCAAGTGGGAACTCAGCCAGGTCTCTGAGCTAGTCACCAACACCTGTAGCTTTACAGGTGAGGAAACTGAGGCTCAGGGCCATGAAGGGCTCAGCTCCATCAAATACTCAACGTTTACATCTCGGTGTCCTCGCTGTGCAAAGCCCACATGGCACCTCAACCAAGTCCTGGGAGGGTGGAATGTACAGGAAGTGGAACCTGCAGCTGCAGGGCAGGTGAGGAGGCTTGTCAACCTGCCCAGGCTGTTCTGACTGACCCTTGTGCCTCCATCAAACACCATGAGGGTAGGCCACTGAGACACCACCCTTGACCCACTCAGGCCCAAATGGTCAACGTACTGTGCACCAGACATAACATCTAGAACCAGGGTTAAAAGGTCAGTCAGCAAACCTACTGTGTGCCAGGCACTGTGCTACACTCCAGGGCTGGGGAGGGAACCACCCCAAAAGGCCCAGAGAGAAGCTGCTTCCGGAGGGTTTGGCCCATCTCCTGAAAGTGCCTGTGTACTCACTCTCACCTCTCCATGGCCCACCCCTCTTCTCAGAACATTCAGAGGACACTGAAGGGATCTAGAGAGACTTCATCTCCCTCCCAGCTCCTTTCCCATATCCCTCATCCCTTGAAAAATCTC